CCATCATCACAGAAACACTGAGCAGCGCCCTGACCTCCCCCTGCGCAGAGCCGCAGACGAGCAGCCAGGCGCCCTGACCTCCCCCTGCGCAGAGCCGCAGACGAGCAGCCAGGCGCCCTGACCTCCCCCCTGCGCAGAGCCATAGACGAGCAGCCAGGCGCCCTGACCTCCCCCCTGCGCAGAGCCGCAGACGAGCAGCCCGGCGCCCTGACCTCCCTCTGCACAGAGCCGCAGAAGACCTGACGTTGCTGCTGATTGGTCAAGGGTGAGCATGTCGGGCCGGTTTAATAAAATGGAAAAAGAAACATGCTCAGGTCAACAGTGACATTTCACTCCCTCCGGTCACAATCTGTTTTTTGGGGCTTGTGGGGGGGGTTTGAAAGTGAGAGGGAACAATATGCTGGCAGGAATATGTGACCCCATTTTCATTAGCATACTCTGCAATCTAGCTACTTTAGCCACTCCTCCCCCTGCTGTCAGACCCAGCACAATACAGCCCTTAAGCCCAGAGCAGCCGGGCCACATCTGTGAGGTGCAATGAAGGGTAAAGCTTTGGGAGAACTTCCCAGCATTGGCTGCAGAGGCAGTGGATTTCTGTGGGCCCCCACGCCCCCCAGCACCTGCCGGCGGATTGAGCAGTGAAAAAAAAACAAGAAAACAAATAGAGAAAAACAAGGTAACAGAGTGTGTGCTGAAAACAGGGGACCTGCGAGCAGCAGCCACAGAATGCAGGGCTGCCCCCCATCAGCCGGTGGTGATGTGCCCCTAGGCCTCTGGGGAGGGATGCCATGGCCCCTTTGACCTGCAACCACACAGTAGCTCAGGTTAGAACATCCATCAAATGTTCAGCCGCAGAGTCTCATTTAGTATTTGAACTAACAAATTGGGGTACTGTATCACATCATTACGACCCAATCTAGGGTTAGGTGGTAACTTCATGGGATTGAGGGGCGTAGAGAGAAACAATGGACAACCAAAATGAGAGTTTGAGGTGGAGACACAACAACAAATGGACATATAGCAAATCCAGCACATTAGTGACAGACATCAGAAGTGATCCAGAGGAAACCAACAAACAAAACACAGGCTAAATTAGTGCAATTGCCAAACTAACTTATTGAGTAGGAAACAAAAACGAGACAATTGTGCCATAAATTCTATAACTAAGAAAACACAATCAAATAAACAATCACACAATAGGGAAAAGGCATAGTTGTAGTCAAATAATCCAAACAGAAACTGAGTGAGAGTACCAAAGAAAGTTATCAGAATTACAAGTCAAAGCAGAAGACAGAGTGTAATAATGAGCTAAGCTGATACCTTCCAGATAGCGGCAAGTTTCTGCTGCAGGGAGACAGGCAGAAATACGGACTTGATTTTGAAATGGACTGCAGGGAATGAATGTAATGAACTGGAACAGAGCTGAAAAAGGCGAACATGCAACACATAGATGTGAGCCTTTTGGGCAGGGTAGTACCCTAGAACCAGGCACTACTCCGCCAGTGGCCAGGCCCAGCTCCACTCCTGTGCCAGGAGGTCGTTCATTGGCAAGCAATTCAGGGTCAGATGTTAGCCACAAAATTGGCTTGGTACCTGTTTTATAATAATAATAATAATAATAATAATAATGTTACATTTATATAGCCCCTTTCACAAACCCAAGGTCACTTTACAAGCAAAAGACATAGAATGGGGTGGATGCATATTCCCCCTTTGTCCAGATTACCACAACCTGGAACCAGCCCATAAGCCTCTGCTCTGCCTTCCTGCAGTGCAAACCGGGGGGTAAAGCCCAGGAAGTCAGTGCCCTAGAACTAAGTTTAGATTGCGAGACTCTTATGGGGTCAGTGCCCCACAGTGACATTTTGGGAGATTAGTAAAGTTTACAGAGAAAATTGGGTTTGTTTGGTAAATGCTGCTTGTCTAGCTGCACGTGCATTTCTGATATCTGAGATGAGAGATTTAATTCTGCTGGAAGAATTTTAACATCATTTAACATCATTTGCCTGACTGCATTGTTTACTTTAATGAATAGAAAGTAATTACCCTGTCGCCGGCTGCTACCCTCGCTGAGGAGCCCTTGCTGTCCCACAAGATTATCTTCATCCCATCTACCTCTGGAGCGAGCCCTGTCCACTCCCCAAAAGCAATTTTACTCCCGCCCCCCGAAACTTGTGATTGTTACTATTGGCATCAAGTAGGCCACCTTATTGCTGACTGTCCGAGACAAAAAAAGAGTCAGAGAACCAGCAGCAGTCAAAGGACTCTGAGCCAGATAAGCCTGCCATTCCATGTTTGATGTCTTTCTGAGTGCAACTGAGACTGGCAATCGACACTCAGTAAAAGTATTGAGAGACACAGGTATGGCACAGTCGTTTATTTTGGAGACTGTGTTGCCATTTTCAGAAAACATACAGTGGAAGTGATGTGCTCATTCAAGGCACTGAACTCTGTGTTCTTTGTATTCTTCCCCTACCTGAAGTGACGATAGACCCCATGTTAAACCTGGATGATCCTGCTGACCACTCTGTGTTCCCTGTCTGTGCGTTCACTCATGCCCAAGCCTGGAAATTTAGAGATATGGAGTTCTCAGATACCTTTTTGACTAGTAGCAATATCCATCACAGGGATGGATCTGTCCCCCCAGGGTCTGTCGGTGGTGAGGGTTGGCCTGAAATTAGACATAGATCAAAAAGCTACGGTGACTGGGGATGCTGCTGTGTCTGATGAGGAATAATCTCTTAGTAAAGCTCTGGGGAAAAATCGTCAGAAATGAAACCATGAACCCCATTGATGACAAGGTCAAAGCTGTCAGCATTATCCAAGTCCTAAACCAAACAGAGATCTTTGACATTTCTTTAGTATAGCAGAGTATTACCGGTATTATCAACAAAATAACACCACCGCACAATCGGGACAATGATCCTAAACAAGCCCCCAGATAACATCAAATGGACATATAGCAGAAACCATCCACCGGTGACAGACATCAGTCCAAAGTTGCAGCATATTAAAGCTGTATTATCTCTCTCTCTCTCTCTCTCTCCCTTTATGGTAGATGGTAGATCTTCCTTTTCCCCGGTTTTAATGGGGTTTATTAACGATACTCTGTCTGGTAAATCTGCGTGTGTCCCCTACCCAGAACTGCAGATCACCCCATTTGTTGCCAGTGTAGGCGCTGAGGGGCACCTTCTCTCATTTAGGGGGCTGCAGGGCGTGGCCTTCTCAGCAGCCGGTAAAACGGTGGTGTACCAGAGATGTGTGAGATCCTTGGTTTTTAATGAGTTGAGAGGTAGGCCTGATACCAGGTGGAGGTTTCACCTCTCTGTTCCTGAGGGTCTACAGCCTTCATGGAGACTCTTTTATAAAGCTCCTTTACCCAAGCGCTCGGGAGACCTGCAATTGAGGATCCTGCACTGTGTGTTGGGCACCAATGCTTTCGTGTCGAAATTCAACCCTGATGTTACTCCTTTTTGTGCTTTCTGTCATAACGTTGATACTGTGTTACATGCTTTTTCTGATTGTCCTAGACTGCTCCCACTCTTCCAGGTCCTGAGTCGAGTTCTGAGAGGTTTCGACCTGTGTTTTAACGTGACCATGTTTGTCTTCCGCTGTAAATACTCTAAGACTCACCACTCTAAGTGCGTCTTGGTTAATTTTTTAGTGGGACAGGGGAAGCTGGCTGTGTGGAAGTCTTTCAGACTGAAGTCGGAGGGGCAGGATACAGATCTGATTCAGCTGTTCAAAGCTCTGGTGGAAACTCGTATAAGAGCTGAGTTTGTGTTCTATGAAAGTACAAAAAATGTACCTGCTTTTAAAAAGAATTGGTGTGTCAATACAAACTTTGTCTCCGTTCAAACAGGTGTGCTACATGTGAACTGGTGATTGTGGGCTCTTTCAGCTTGTGTTATTAATGCTGTATAAATAAAGGGGGGTTAAAAGTCAAAAGTCTCTCTCTCTCTCTCTCTCTGTATGTCAGTCTCTGTCTTACTCTTGCATGCATCCTGCACTTCAGTGACGTGTGTCAGATGGTTGTCACCTAAACTTCAGTCTTTGAGACAGGCCGCAGTCTCCCATTTACACTTATAAAAGTTTTTTAAAGGTCTTTTTTTCATGGGGACCCTCCATCCCCTGCTGGTCCAATACAGCACAGGATGAAGGTGAGGAACTTGACAGGAAGGGAGATGAAAAACAGCAGTTCTCCTAAATCTGGATTATATATCAGAGAAATATAACATCCAATATGCCCCTCCACCCCCTCCGGACACCTTTTCCATTATCTGGCAGAGGGTTCAAAGCCTGGTTCCTATCTCACCCTCAGACACGGAGTGTATGTCAATGGCAACTGTGGCCCTGAAACACACAGGGGGCGCTGATGAGCCCAGCACCCGAGAACTCGCCGTCTTCCTGCCGGAGAGGAAATCCCCGTCAAACACCGAGAACACTGGTGATCAACAAAGTTTTTTTCAGGACACTGACTGAAGGCTGGAAGTGATCCCAGTGGACTGAGGGCTTTGACAAAGAAGCCTCTGATCTCCAGACGATTGAGGCCCAAAGAGGGACAGGCGATGTAGTTGCGGAAAACCACAAAAACGCCATCAAAAAACATCATTAGTGTTAAGATGGGCTAACCGTTATTTAGGTCGATGGCTTTGTACATTTTATTGGGATATTTTTAATCGTATTACAGTTTATCTCGATTGGAATAGTTAACGGCAGCATCTGTTTCTCAGGAGCTTTTGCTTAATTGCGAGACGTAGAGAGGGGGCTTTGCTATGTTCATCTGACAGTTCTTAACACAGCCAGCGCTGGAGGATTTGTGCAACGTGAATAATATGGTAGCAGCAGGAGCCAGCAGAGGAGTCTGTTCCGAGTTTGAGAGAAACACGCCTTACTAAAGACAGACAGTGTGGTGATAGTCTCCTACACACCAAAAAGAACCGAGAGCTTCTCCCTCATTTAGGCTGTAATGATACAACCTACTCGCGATTCGCTTCGATAGACGATTGAGGGCTCCCGGTGTTCGACAAACACAAGGCATTCAACAAAATAAGACTAAAACAAACTCAGATCACACTGCTCTATTTTTTTTTTCCTTTTTAGGCATATACATGTACGAAAAAACTTTCCAAACCATTACTTTTTTGTTGCAGTTTTCTTCCCTTATTCTGCAGACTACAGTACAAAATGCGAAAATAAAATCTCAAAGCAAAATTTCAAAGCTATAGACTGAGATTATGCCTATTGCGACCTCTCGCGTTAAATGATTTTGTGCCCTGGTGCATTGTTACACCTCCAACAACGCATATTGTTGTATTATTTAATCGCACATTGACCGTTGAACAGTATTTTCAGGTAGTAACGCCTCACTCCAAAGCAATGGTGCAAACGTTCCACAGCTCACGATGTACTCACGTGATCACTCTCCAAACCGCCGGCACAATTATAGGAATAGATATATGCGCCAGTTTAATCCCAACAAAGTTTATCTAATAATACAATTATCATAAACACTGTCTGCAGTGTATCTAAAGTCTGCTTGCAATCTATCAAGTAAATTGAAGTAACTATCATGTTGAACCAATCTATCACACTAATAGAGTGGTGAAGAATAAACAGCATGTACTAATTTTGCATTTCAAAACACACCACACTACAAAAAAGTTATTCATTAGCCAAAAGCATGCTGCGTATTTAAGTACTGGGCGGAAATATGGAACTTTACCGCCGCCTAGTGGAGACAAAGGGAACCATTAAATCGTATGAATTACGTAGCTACATGAAGGGTGTCGCCCCATCGACGATTAATATTAATACGTTCATGTCGCCCATGGGCGTCGTTAGGCCCGATCACTCGGGGCTATAGCCCTGAGTATTTTTAGCTTAGCACCTAGTATTTTAGTCCCGATGATCTTCCATCAAAAACAAATAAATCAAGCCCCAGGTAAATTTGACTTAGCCCCTGATATTTTCAATATCTAGAAACTCCCTTGATGTCTCCTAAATGCCTTCTCAAGAGTCGGAAAACTCTTCAGAAGTGTTTATATAAAGCAAGCGGCATGTTTAACATCCCTTTTATTTATTTTGTACTAAAATGACGATTTCCTAATTTAAGAATCAAGTTCAAATGTTTTTTATACAGTTTTTCCTTGCAATGCAAAACACTTGATGGGAAGCAACTTAGATCTGAAAAGGATGCCTATTGCACAACTTTGAGAATTATCAAACATGTCGGATCAAACATGGGTGTCATCATCAGCCATTAAACTGGAAATCCTTCTGTCAATCGAGACCAATATAGCCTGGTACGAAGAATACATCTTAATAGCTTAGGCGTTTATTGGAGGTCATCTGTATGCAAATCCGACTCAATTCCGTTAAAAAGAACAATACTGGCAGACACAAAGAGTGACAACCCTTGGCGATTTTTAATATATTGGCTATTTTGCGGACAAAGAGGATAAATTTCCAGCACATTCTTAAGGGAATGAAACAGGATCTCATGAATATAAATGACCCGACGATCCCGATGCCTCAATCAACATCAGCGGACTGAGGGGAGGAAGAAGACAGGGGGGGTAGACGCCAGTGTCCCGGGGCCCCGCGTCCAGTTTATTTTACACTTTTCAATCATTAAATTGCATTTCAAACAGCGCCATTATAGAACTGGCCGGGTGCTTAAATGGCAAGCAACCTAAGCAAGAACTAAATGCACATATTGAGAAAGGCTCTGGATATCGGTACCCATAGTAGATCAATAGTAGATAACTTGACAATAGGCAGTAAAGTAAACCTGAACACGGGATACAAACTAATGTGTACATAATGGTCAGTCGGACGGTATGTTTCAGAAGCATTTTCCTTTATTTGCTTTATACATTACCGAAATAAATAAAGCAAACACTATGTCAAAACAATACAACAGCGCTTGCAAATGGGTGTAAGTGAAGTGTTGTTTCCACGTAGTTTTAAGACAAAAAATTCAACACTAACGGGCGGTGATTATTGAGAACGACACACATTAGCTGCATAAATCACACTTACTTTACTAAATTAAGATATTGACTTTATTACCTAGAATGTGTAGTTTTGTATTATAGTTAGTTCCGCGCCCCGTCGTTATTCATGAGAAAAGTACAAAATTGACCGGTAACGACAGCTCAAAAATATAGAAATAGCTACCCTTCTTAAAACTACGCGATAATTTCATACCCAGCTCTGTTCTTCGCAGAATTGTTAATATCTTTTACGGGTCGTAGCTCACAGACGTGTTTCTCTTACTCAAAACACGTAATATATCTGATCCACAGAGCCCAGGGGGTAAAGAATCGCAGGTGAAAGCCTGACCATAACGACGCGGCTCCCGCCTTGTGTCCCTCCACGACTGCCATAGCTGAGTGCCCTGAACGCCAAGACAGGAAAAGTCCGAGAGCGACGCGCACCTCCCCTTCAACGTGGTCAGAGTGCCCACTTTCCTGCGGAACTCCCCATTCGTGTGTTCGGAAGGGCCCACCCGTCTGCTGGAGACCCTGGAGAAGACCTTGTAAGGAAGTCTCCAAGGGCCTGCCTGACCTTCAGAATGAATGCTCCAAGACTGGCCCATATCAGCTCTCCTGCAGGCAAAACCTGCAAGTGTAGGCATGGCCAGGCCAGGCAGTAGTGAAATGGACTTCTTGCAATTCCTCAAGGTGGCAGTGGAGTCTCGACGATGATATCCCCAAGCCCGACTAAGGATCAGTTCTTGTAAGCGACGCTGATCCGAGACCGCACTCGAGGTCTGACCAGTGGTTTTGAGGGGGGTGGACAAACAGGTCGGCAGAGAGAGATATTTCATGTTGCGTCCGGGATGATCCTCCTGATCCGGTGTGGTCTGGCTGAAGTCCAGGCCATAGAGGGGGCTCTGAAGGGCGACTGCATGCAGCGGGCTGGGGTACCGGTATACCTCATTACTCCGGCCTGTCCTCAGGTCCACTCTGTACCTGGGCTCTAGAAGCAGCTGTGGCTGCAGCATGTGGCGTACATCCTGCCAGTGCGACTCAGGGCAGAGGCTGGCGACACACTGGAGCCTCCAAGAGGGGATAGCCTCTGTGTCCAGTTCGGGGGATGTCACAACACCAGATCCCACCAAAGAGGCACGTGACCCGGACAGGGTGGACACCCCAACGCAGACCTGGCTGTCCTCGTAATCCTCATAGAAGCCGGAGCTGGCCCGTGAGCCAGAGTCAGCCAGTGCCAGGTGGAAGACACCGTTGTCAATGTGGCTGTAATGAAGCAGCAGGTTTTCCGTAGAGCGACTGAGCTGTGTCCTGGGCTGTCTGGCTGTCTGGAGGTGACCAATGTCGTCCTGGGAGAGGCTGCGTGCAAACCCGAGCCCACCGCTGCCACCAGGCACCCGGAAGCCATCTTTCCCTAAGAAGGCACCACCTGGTGGCTGAAGGTGGAACCTTTTTTCTGAGCTTTGGGGATCTGGGCTGCCGTCCTTCAGTATGGCCTCCACCATCTTCTTGTGTTTGGATCTCAGAACCTCCAGCTCAAGGAGGCCAGCCAGGGCGGCCCGGAAGCGCTCCCTGACCCTCCTCCTCTCTGGCTGGGACCACGGAGAACATTGTGTGTGGCTACAGTCTCCGGCCATCTTCCTGTTCCTGTCGCCGTCTTTTGTCTTCTTAATCAGCTTGGGAAGAGTCACCTGAGGTGAATGATAGCCACATGAGCCCAGCACTGGCTGACAGAGAGCCGAAGCTGATATTTATCCAACACTCCACCCTCACAACTGTCCAAGCTGACAGTGGGTGGAGTCTGCAGCTCCCTGTACTGTGATTGGCCGATTGTATTTTTGAAGGTCTTTGACCCAGGTCAGGTGACTGATCAAGAAAGAATGGATTGAGATTCCTGAAAAAGAAACGGGCCACTAACAAGCTTGTATATCACCATGACATCAACCCATGTCCCTGTTTTTAAGATAAATTATACTTCTATTCCTACTTTCTCAAATCAGCCATTTAACTTGTGGCTTGAAAGTCAAATAAACATTTCAATGCACACCTCTGTGGATCCCCATCTGCCCACCCCCACCCCCAGGAATTCAACTGAAAACGACTGGAGAGAAATTGCCAGAACGTATCCTAAGGCAGGACAAAGGCTCACAGCAGGCTGGCCGTCAGGAATAGAGCCACAGCCTTCCACGTTGATTACGTCCTGAAATGCCATCGTGTCACCTGAGTGGGGACAATGCAGTGGTACATCAGAGGAGTATCCTGGCTAGTGAGACTCTCTGAGATGCATATGCAGTCACTGGTGTCCATTGATATGCAAACATCTCCAAGATGTGTGTTTGGAGCAGCCAATGAACATTAAAGCAGATGCTTGAATTTATTTCAGGAACATCATGAAGTACATATGGATTTCAGTAAATTAATTTTTTCCAACATTTTATGCCACTGAAGGATGATATTCTCCATGCAAAGGACATCACATGTAGAGAATTCTAACTACCCTTGAAAATTCCCTGTTTCACAAACCTGTTTATTCATGCATCTTGTGAAATGTTTGTTTTCCTTCTTGACAAGATGAAGCACTTCTTTGGGTCAATGTATTGACTTGGTGGTCTGACTCAGTTTTCCACGAGTCCCGCTAAAATGGTAATACATCTATAGATAATTAGGCATTTTCGGACAAATGAGAACTCGGGGCAATTAGCATGTAACTTTGGCCAATAAGGACTGTGAATTACAGAGGCAGGGTTATAGCACAGGGAATAATGCATCTACTTAGAGAGGAAAGGGCTTTCATTTCTCATAATCCACAACAAAAAAGGGGATGTCGCACGAGCTACATTAGGAAAACAGATATTTCGTTACTCGTGTAGTAAACATTCTTTATGTGTCAGGCTATCTAATTTATTTACGCCAGGACGGATTGGTGGCATGATATTTATACAAAATCTGTTCGAGACAGAAATAGCGAGACCATAAAAGTAGAAGTTAAGGTAGAACGTTAAATTCAGATGCTAGGATATCATAAACTAGCCACTCAAGCAATCAGCGTCATTACAAATCTCTCTTTTAAGACACCGTTTCAGATCTTTGATAAAAGTGATAACAGTGAATATATTAATGAGGTTGGTTAGCAAAGGGAGCTTTGAATTGCTTTGTATCAACAAAGGAAACGCTGACGAGCGAGTGGGACCACGTGAATTTCTTTGGTAGCTTGTTGGTCGGTAACACGCAAGTGAATCCTTTATCAATCTTATCTAGGTGTCTGATTCAGGTGTTTAATTAAATCCTACTATAAGCTGCCTGCCGTTTATATTTCTATAAACAGAAATCGAAAGCAAACTGGCCTATGTACCACTCGCCTAACTTTACATGGTTGGTATAGCTTTACCCTCCCCGCTCTCCTCAGCATGACGTACGCATACGCCACAAACGTCACCGCGTTCTACACGTCGACGTTTCCGTGGATATTCGCATACGAGACACGCCCGAAAGCCCAAAAGAGCGACGTCACAGAGACCGCGACCACCAGCGTGCGACTTCCGCTCTGCATTAGAAAAGTCACAATTCTGAAAGCAACCTGGAACGATACAACGCACACATTTACCCAACGTATTTTAACCTCCCCTCAGCTCCATATCCATGCACATCACTGCATGTCTAGCTGTGGATAGTCACAGCGGGATTTCCCCCACCCAGCATCTCTCATTCTGGCTTCTGCACACCACAGCCTATGCTGGCAGAGCAGTAGTACGGCTATGGCAGTGAAGGGCAACTGCAAAATGGTGACCAGTCACTCTCCAGGGCAGCATGACTCATTCTCTAAGTGGACTCACTCTCTCTGTTGGCACTAACCTTGGTAGCGTGTTCTCATGCTATCAGAGCATAATGCAGCCTGAGGGAGCATTTCAGGAAATGGCAACAAATGCTGAGCTATTAAACACCATTTAGAGAGAATACCAGCTTCACACAGCTGGTGCCACCATTGTACATTTGGTCAGAATGGTGCTGCACTGAACACAAGCTTCATCTCCAGCTTTACCCTCAACCACCACTCACCTTACCACCAGAGCCTGTGGATCCAAGATCAACTCCCAGCACATGTCCAGTGCACTGCAGAGCATTAAGACAATTTAAAATCTGGTGGAAACCTAGAGAAAGATTAACTGTGCATAGAGAGGGGTACAGCCAGCCTCAGAAGACAGGCCAGCCCAGACATTTAGCAGCTGATTCAGCCATCATTGTCACAGAACTGCTGTCAGGGCTGTATGAACTCCCTGGGTGAAGTTGTTTACTCATAGGTCCCATTCCACTAGTCTCCCCACCCAAAAAATGTTTTATTCATTGAAAAACGTGTCAATTAAGTACCAAGGAACACAGGCTGTGCACAGGCTAAATTAACCGTTGAAACTTTATTGCCAAGTAACTTCTCATGCTTTTTAAACCCCATTTGTTCTGAGGTAGCAAACAAGTTTAAGTAGAACTACAACCAACCACAGCAGATTGGCACACCCCACCCAAGACCACCACACAACAGTTCAGTCAAAGGCAAATCATACCCTCCATTACTTAAGAGCACAGGCGTCCATCCATTAGTTGGATCATCTTCAGTTTCAAAGGCAGGCTTTGGGCCGAGCAAATAGCTCGAATGTAGTGGCAGAAAGCCCTGGACTTGAGCAAACGCCAGCCATTACCTTAACACTCGGCTGATTTCTACCATGACCACAGACCTGTACCAAACCTCTCGTTACATCAACTTGACACAAACAGAATATAGCTAGATATGCACACAACAGCACAAGGGTCTAAACATCACTAAGGAACAAAAGCATCATGTCCGCATAGATCAAGGGTTCGAAGATAAAGGAACAGTATGCTGAGTAACTACACACTTTCCCTTCAGAATAGGCAATGCTAAGATGCCTATTAATGACAGGAACCATTTCGTAAATATAGAACTGCAGCACTTGTTTGTCCCGCATGCTTCACTGCTGAGGTCAAGCTTCAAGAGGCATAAAGCCAAACACGCCAAGGCATCTGCCACAAATGGCTCCTGCATGCCTGGGTTTCTGGGTTGCAGGCACATGGCAACCGGGGAAAAAAGCATGCAATATTCAGAACCAGTCTGGGATTTGGGGAGGAAGGAGGGTGCAAAAACAAGGACTGTCTCAGGGTCCCTGCAAACCAGGTGGGGAAACACTAGTTTAGAGAATCCAATACTGCAGTGTCATGGGTGAACATACCAAGCTTCTCCCAGTGGAGAGAACCAGACAGGCCCTCAAATAAAGCAAGAAAGGATTGTACACAAAATGTAAGGCAGTAGAGATTAACCAGGACATGAAAACAAGATAATCGACCCCTGGTGAATCAGATCAGCATGGTCTGACAGAAGACTACAGAACCAAGTGCTAATCTGCACTACCCAAGAGTACCCAAACACTAAGTCTGAAGGGAAATCTTCTCATAACATACTGGCTTCAAGGGCCTAGTTACAGGACAGGGACTGGAGAAACAAAGCTCATTCTATATTTAAGTAGGCAACTTTAATTAAACACAATTACAAAAAGTAATACTGATGCATGTTACTTGCCTAGGATGGGGCAACAGACCATGGTGTCCAAGGAAGGAAAAAAAAAAAAAAGCACCCCAGAAACCTGAGTCAGAGGTTCGGTTCTGCGGACATTCATACACGCAAGTCATATGCTTCCTTAAACATTTCTGTACTGATTAAGGCTCTGAAACACAGGGGGTAGGATTACCCTGAAGGTGAGACAGAATCCTCCCCCCGGGCCTTTCAGGCCCCCAATTGCAGGTCATTTGAACCATTTCTGAAAACGTGATGGACCGCTAATGCTTGTGTACTCGTACAAAAAAAAAAAGTCACTGCTCTAATAGAAAATGGAAGGCACCATAACATCAAGCAGTCAACTCCCATGCCCACAGAATGACACTTAGGATATGAGGACCACTGCCTCTTAAAATCACTTAAATGAGCTTCAAGACATGATCCAGCAAAGGAAGGGCAACAACCAATCAACATTCAGAAACAGATACACTGGGGAGATCTTCACTGATTTTAATATCACTGTATGTTAAATACAATAAAAGGAACCAACTGGGAAATTTCTCTATTCATTTTTTATTTTGCTATCTCCAGTCTGGTGACAAAAGGCCTTGAGTTGGGGGAACCAAAAATCCAACACCCCCACCTCCCGCCAACCGCGTCCCTTCCAAAGCACGACATAAGGCGCCAGCAAAACATTCGAAAAGAGCCTCCCCAGCCGAGACACGTACAGGCTTTGACGCTTATCAGGTTTACCAGGGATAGCCGTGCTGGCCATCCATGTCTGTCTTGGTTAAAAAAAAAAAAAAAAAGTCATTTAGAAGTTTGTTTCTGAGCGGGCAAAAATATTTGTTTCCACCCAAATCTTTTAAGTGCCAACTCCAGTTAGCCAACATTCTGCGAGGGTGGCCTGGGACTCGGGGCGAACGTTTTGTAAGCAATCTGTGGTCAACACTGGCAAGGCTGGGAAAGCAAGCCCCCCCCTTCACACAAGGTAGGAATAAAATTAAAGGAGTTAAATGTCAGTTAATTCCCCCCTCCCTCTCAACTCAAAATGCATTTTTCCCCCAGAAAGGCATAAATGCTGCACTATTCAACCTAAGTAATAATAATAAAAAAAAAAACTTACAAAATTGGATCCCGTTATTAACCTTAACATTCAGGAATGTAGGTGGCAAGACTGACATCTTAAAGGCAAAATTAAAAGGCAAGGAATGCAATTTAAAACTGAAAACCTCTGATCAGGCAGGATGCCAAATTGGACTGGGGGGACAAGTTGCAAGAAGTCCAGCATGTTTTTTGGGTTGGGAGGGGGGGACAAAATGAAAAACCAGAACAGAAACTTGAGGTTGTTTGAAGGCCATAGCTTTGGTGAGAATTAGAGCCAAAATGAAGGAGTTGTGGTATAAGGTCTCAGCCTGAACATCCAGTCTCTTCTCTTCCTATTTGCTGGTCATGGATTTGATGGCAACCGCACACTCCTCCCCCATGGCAGAGAGCACAGAGACCTAGTAGAAAGGGAGACAGAAAAGGACGACATCACACCTCCTGAAGTGATATTCACGCTTGTGCCCCATAATTGCTGATTAAGAGGCCACAATTCCACACTTCACCTGTTAACCAGCTAATCAGCAGAGACCAGCTTTAATTCCCCATGGAAAGATACAGAACAACTTTAAAAGGCAAGGACCAAAACGTCAGCAGTGAAACAGGTCAACGCATCAGAATGTTTAGTTGTATAAACAGGCAGACCAAGCCACGAGTCAGGAGGATTAACAAGTCAACGTTCCACAAGTCATAATGCAGGTTATGACTCTAGAATAATTCACAAGGTTGCTTAAATGTGGCACCCACTTACACTCCCCAACACAATGCTAGCAGTATGCCATCACTATAAACATGTCACAGGAGTTCAGGCATAAAGAATCAAAATCACAATATTTACCATCTAAGTAGACATTGGTGCTGACAGTCATGACAAAGCAATTAAGATGGGTTCGAGGCTCAGCCGCTCCCACTGCTTGCGCGACGCACAGATGTCAGGTTTTGATGCACGGCGAAGCATGGCCAAATCCACTTACCAGTATCTCCTCTCCAGCTTCATACTTGCCCTCAATCTCCTTGCCCAGGTCACCCTCGGGAATCCTCAGGTCCTCACGAACGTCACCGTTGTCCATCAGCAGGGAGAGGAACCCGTCGGTGATGCCAATCAGCTAATGGGGAGAATGCACCAAACATTACAGCCCCACTACAATCCTCAGCCTAATTCACAGGACACAATCTGTAGATACATGCAAAAGTACAACGGCCCCATGGCACAGACGAGGGTCACTACCCGGAAAGTTTGTGCCGATGCACGGACTGAACCAAAGCATAAATGCCCCGGCACCACAAATCTAAGCCTCCACACTGAAGCTAGAAGCAGCCGTAATACAGCATTCTGATGGCTAATCAAACCATTTGGATTACGAATTCAAGCTATAGCACTAACAACCAAATATCACCAACTTAGCTTGTCAACCAGGTCTTCCAACCGATAAACTAAACCTGTAAACTGATTCGAACCGGTTGAAATTAAGACCATTTCACTGCAGTAGGAGCCCTGACTATTCACCAGTTGACAAGGGCACCTGGAACTTCTACTGTAAATGGCTTATCTGGCCTTGTCTTCCCCGAAGTCTAGAAATTATGAAGCAAATCAATAAAGCAGGTTTGAGATGGCCAGTTGTAACATTTCAGTTAAATTAACTACTTTATCGACCAGCCAGTTTAAGCAAGGGGACCCTAGATTTATGACCTGAATATCAACTCCATGTCCCCAGAACCCTTTACTCATGTAGTTATTGGCCAAAGGGAAACATCACTCACCAACACAACCAATGAACTCCCATCCTTATCAGCTTAAAGTTATGACCGGTTTTAAAGCCAAAGTGAATGGGCTCAAATCGGCTGGTGAAATGGGCCATTCCTGCCGTGTTTTAAACAAAATTCAGCAAAGAAAGGTTCATTCCCCATACAGTATTATGATATGCACCTTCCAAGGCAAGGCAGCTTTAATTTCAAGCCACCTCACTGAGAGCTGAAGCAGAGGCACACAGTTAAAGGGGTATTAACTTTCAATTAGTTGCAGCACCCTAAAGCAGTCCTCCGAACTGGCACAGGACAGAGAACGGCCAGGGCCTGCAGGGGCAGCGTTCACGGTGTAAGCCTGATTTATGCACCGAAGCTTTCATAAGAACGCCAGCCTTCATTACAACCAATTATCCACCGGTAAACATCTACCAACTTCTCAAATACCTACAGGACAGATCCAATAACAAGGCCAGAAATCTGCACAGCACCTAATGGTTAAGGCAGCAGGACCTCAAAACAAGTCAGTCAAATCACCTGGAAGTCATTTCTCTTGATGTTGGGGACATCCATGTTATGGGTAGAGGGGCAGATATCTTCATACTTCTTACCAGTGAAGATATCAATCCCGACCATGTGAACCTGCAGGATCAATCACATGACAGTCACATTATCAAAGCCCTAGATTTACCAAGCATTAAACAGCAAAGCCATTATAAAATGTCCCACCCCAAAAGAGCCCCCCACCCGTCCGTACCTTAGCGTGCCCGTGCTTGCCGGTCTTGGAGGTGGACATCTCCACGATTTTGCAGGGGCGCCCCTTCAGAACCACATAGCCGTTCTTACGCAGCGCGCTGCACTGCATGGGAAAGGTGGCAGAGGCCCCTGCATCGCCGCTGGTGAAATCGATATCTGGGTCTGCCATGGTGGCGGGGGTCGAATGTAGAGGGAGCTGCGGGGTAAGAAGGAGAGGGCGGTAAAGCAACAGCACCGCGAAGTAAAGGCGCAGTGCGGCGACTTGCTTAAGTCCGCGAGTTCAAGGAAAGCTGCTGCGATCCACCGACATAGTGAAATAAAGTCGCCGGCGCTCAATGAAGAGGCGCTGCACGGAAAACAGCAGCACGCTTTCAGACCCCAGACGGCACCTCCGTTGCGTCAGCGAAACGGAACATGTTTCAAATGCGACATGGGAACCCCAGGCCTGCCTGGCCAGGCGGAAAACTTTATTTTAGATGCGACTGCCTTTCATATAGTTTTATACCAGTGAACCGTATCGATAGCCACTGGCGGAGACAGCGCGCCACGGCCGCCCCACGCCCTGTCCACGTGTCCCCGTCTGGCCTACGGTGTCATCGGGAAGCGGAAGATGTAGCCTGCGCCTCCAGCCGCCGCCGCCGCTATCCTACATCCTCACGGTGCCCCGAAGCTACGACGCCACGCGAACCGCCGACATTTTCAATTACCCGCGAAAGGGGGCCGACGTGCGCAGACAGGCCGGCCTCCGGCATTGTTAACACGGCTACACAGCTTGGTTACACTGCCGCCCTGAACAATGAATCTTAGCTCGGCAGCTAACAATGAAACAACCAAGTAGGCCAGAGAGCAACAACATCCTTCAGGCCGCATCACTTCAAACCATCGGCGACTGTGAACCACAAGCCGGAGCGCCTCCAGTCCAATGGCTATCCACGATAAATAAAGTGCTAGGCCCCCACACGCCTAGCCGCGGCTGAAGCTCCAACAGACAGTATCCTGGCGGAAAATCAATCTGGGCCGCGGAGTTATTCTGCTAACTATTCGGGATGGATAACATGTCCCGTAACGGCCCTCTCACTGCGCCTCGGATCCGCTTTTAGTCTTCGTATTCTCCACCCCACCCCCATCACCCAGACGAGCCTGATAACGTAACCGGGCTCTCCCAAATAGCCGCCGACTTAATAGACCGAACTGCGCCGACTGGAGCCCAACGTGCAGCGGAACCGAACTTTGAGCCGGCGGGAAGCTTTAAAGGAGCAGTTTTGTGTGTAAAATGAAGCCAGACGGCTTCTGTTGCGAGCGTCCACTGCGAGCGCGCGGCCAAGGCCTCGCGCCCGTCTCGCGCAGTGCATAGCGTGTAGCGGGACGCTACTAGAAACGCAAACCCGCACCCCGACGCACAGCCTCTTACCGCTCGTGGCCTGAATCCCGGCTTCGTCAAGACACGCGTTAACGCGACGCCACAGCACGAGCTCGAAGCAAGGAATTTTCTGCAAAAACTTATTTATTTTTCTGCGGTGCGGAGAGAAGCACGCGCCATGCGACTCTTACCTTCCAACAAAAAAAGAACGCGACTGCGCAGGCGCGCCCAATTTTACTGCGGCACCCTCACAAGGGGCGGAGTTCCAGAAGCATTTCCCAGATGCCCCACGGTTTCCGGTTTCACTGGCGCTCTGACTGCACTCACATGGCCAGCATTGCGTCAGTACGGAAAACGATGTCTCTGCATAGGCTATAAAATATAAGACATTGCCAAGTTAACAGTTTACTTAGTTTCAAAGAGCTGAACTGCATGTATATTGATCAGTAAGATCATGTGAAACACGAGAGAAAAATAATGTTCATCCTGATTTAACATTGTATATTCTTTTTAGGAGACAATATTTGTAATTTATTTTAAACAAGTGAAATCCCGCCCCTGCTCTGTGCTGGTGTGTTTTTTTTTTTTTTTTTTTACAGATTTGAGTAGGTTCCTCTGGTAGTCTGAAAACATGTGGTTATATGAGTATTTGGTGGACTGGCATATTTACAGGTAAAGAGAGTTGGTTTTGTGGAGATAATACATTCCTCTATTGGTGTAGTTCAATTAATATAATGCAGTCAGTTTGTACACCTGTTAATGTATATTGCCATGAATTCAGCAAAAAGTCTATACGATCAGACCATATTGCTGTACTAAGCTGTAATACCCTCCTTTTACAAGAAGTGCAAATGCTTTTTCCACATAGCACTGCTGTGTCAACCTTTTAGTTGAATACATTCAACCACCTAAAACTTGAACTTGTTTGTATTTTTATAGAACAGTATAGAGCATACCAATGATCCACTATAGATAGTGGCCTTTTCACACAGTCACAGGAGGAATGCACTGACCCAATTGTCTTCTGATCAGCACTGGAAATGCATGAATTGAGAGGTTGTTTAGGGTCAAGTGGAAACTTGCATCACTATTGTTAAAAGAAAAGCTACAGCAGAATGCAGTACAGTTAAAATGTGGAAGTTGTTTGCCAGGCCAGGTTGCCATTCATGAGGCTTATATGCCTGAGAGGTGCTGCCACTTGCTGGCCATCCATTTCAGTAACTGAAAGAATATCTGTTCTGGTGTGTGAACTGGGAATCTCTGAGGGGCTTTGGGACCAGTGAGTGAGGTTTATCAGCACTGGGGTTGGGGATCACTGACCAAAAGCTTGTATGGATATCATGATAAACCACTTATCAGGCCTGTACATGGGCTCTTTTTTGAGGCTAGCAAATGGGTCGTGAAAAAACACTCCTCTGTCAGCAGGTGCCATGAATGGCAGAGGGTTTCTTAATGGAAAAAAAACACAATCTAAGAGAGTCATCTCACATCGTCCTCCGATACCCACAAAGACGGAAGCAGGGCTACTGTTTGCTCATTTGCTTGTTTATTGATTTATTGACTTAAAAAACAGGACAAATCTAATGCTCATAATTTGATAAACACAATGTGTAACAGTTCTGGGAAGTGAAAACTGAGAGAAGTCTAGCAGAAGAAGTGTCCCCCCCGCCCTCCTCCCAGTGTACATATCCATCACACAAACAAGCTCCACAAAGCTGTGTTAGTACAAAACAACCCCGTTTCTCTACTAGTTAACACAATGTTCCCACCAGAATCTGGCAAATAAAAGGAGAGGAATTTAAAAAAGCTAAACCACCGGTATATTTTATTGCTAAAACGGTTTTAGGCTTGATTCAGTATTAGTGTCCTCCCATTCCCCATAACAATATCCCAATTAGGTCATCATTTACTCTTTCCTCAAATATAAATATTTATATTGTGCAAACATTACAATAAATTCAGGAGAAATAAAACACCTCTAAAAGCTTACCATATCTCTCCCTAAACAAATCATTTTCCCCCAAATGCAGATATGACAGAAAAAAATGGAAAAGGCGGCTCATTTTAAAGGTAGATCTGCGAAAACGGACAGAACCACAACCTTTAGGTAATTTTGACATTCTTATGCATATTTCAACCGTGCATCGCATCCAGGAATTCCAATAAGCTATAGAACAGAATACCTGTATAAAATGTACCGATATGTGGAGGAAAAAGTTACATTGATTTTGTCAAAGCCTAAAAATACAGGGAACCGCTAAACCAGGGAAAAGTACAGCAAGTCTAGAGTAATCCTTAACGCAATACTGGCGATGAACAAGCGGAGCCTACAGTGACGTCATTAATTCCAAGACGGCGCCCACGTAAGTCACGTGGTTTGCCACGATGCACTGTACCTAATTAATAATTGATCAATCGTCACTCAATTAATCACCTTCAGTTTGGCGTTTGGCTCGCCCTCCGCTTGTCAGCCGCCGATTCGTGCTCCGATGGACTAACAGGTGGAGAATCATTTATGACCAGTCATTGGTCAGAAACAGTATAAAAATGATCGTTCCCTGTTAATATTTCAGTCGACAAAGATTACATCCAAATCAAATACGCACTGTCCTAGAGATCAAATAAATGTAAAAAAGAGAATGAAATCAATATCAAGTTGTCAGTTTTATCTTCCCTTACATCATGCTATGTATTTTGCAAATAAATGCCTAAATCGTAAGACAAAAATAGTCAATTTTAAAAGAAGTTCAAAGAAACCCAAATTTCACTTGAAGACAACTGTACAATGAACTTTTACACTAAACTGTACAAAATATCACTTAGTTCAGGGCTGATTTCTGGGCCTTTGTCCTATCGGCGATTGTGCTAAAGTCGATAACAGCGGAGGTATCAATTAAATTCAGAGTGAAGAACAACATTTTGTGATGTGCAACGCTCATATTCACATGATACGTGAGTGTGCAGGTATGAAACTGCAATAAACGCTGGGAAAAGTATTTACAAAAGCAAGAATGTATTTTCCCCCCAAGATACTCGCCTTTCGTACACTGCCCATCTAAAGTAGTCTCATTCAGTAGTCATTTAAACACAAATTTCACGATTTCGTGGTTGATGATGATGGCAATAAATAATACTAATAGTGATAATGATAACAACGGCCATTTATCGTTGCATCTTTTGTCAAATTCTCCCTTTGGATGCCCTTCAGACAGTACATAATGCATGTCATGTTTAAAAATGTAAGGTTTAAAAATGAATATACGCAGCATTCAGTATCCTTACAAATTCCTGCCACCTGTATGTCTATACGTAGCAGTTGTGCACACTGTTTAAAAACATACGGTGGATTTCAAGCACTCAACACACCATACCACGTTCTCGAAATCCGCCGTATTTTATCCTGTGGGGATAGGTAAAAGAAAAGGGTTTTTCTAGAAAGCTTCCACATTCAGTACCTACTACGTCTCTCTGGCTCAGTCATAACTCGGCCAACTGCATCTCTTACCATGTGCAACACACCGCTGGAACAGGATCGCTGAACGGACATGGGTACAGATGTGAACCTCTATGTACATGTCTACATGTTTTTTTTTTTGTTTTTTTTTTTAAAAATGCAACTAAATGGTTAGAAAAAGAAACGAGGTAGGTCAATAACGGGAAGCGCGCACAGTTTTTTTTTTTTTTTCCTTACTTTTTTACGGTAAAATCCCAGAATCCCACAGGCAGCCCATGCTAGCAGCCACTTGGAAAGAAACAGAGAAAGAGAGAGTTTTAGAGATAGATAGAGAGAGAGAGAGAGAGAGAGAGAGAGAGAGAGAAGGAAACGGAAAACTTTAAATCACGGGATAGCGGTCACAGTTTGTGTTCTGTTTTCACCAGCTTCGGGTCGACTGCTTGGACTACGGCTGAACGCAGATTTACAGTCAAACAGAAATCGACAGGGATCACGACCCGGGGGGCAGGAGGCGTTCACAAATGGCCTAAAAGTGTTGTCTGCTGCAACAGAACCAACCTTCACTGGTACGAGAGGACTGAACCCCACCAACACCAAAGCCTGGTTTCTATTGCTGTTAGCTGGCTAATCTGTATTTATGGTGACAGACTGGACTATGTCCAGAGACAGCCTTCAGCTCCATAAATTTCTGTCAAAGAGACCGGACAACGCAATGGACTCCCCTCTCCCCCCAGCTTGTCAATGCCCAGGTCCCCTTCCAGACAGTAGGACAGCAAAGCAGCCCGAGCCTCTAGAGGGTCAACATGGACACCAATGTTTTGAGTGACACTGGTGCAGCATGGCCACCCTGTCCTGTTTCCAAGAGGACAGACCATCTGCACGTCTCACCAAAATGATACAACAAGAAATAAAAGAACTGTATGGATGCTGTATCAAAGACGGAGCGGGTCGTGTGTTGCTCTGCGAGGGGGCGGGCAGATCACAAATCCCCTTCCCCGCTGACAGGCTCTATAAAGTCCAGCCTTTAGCACGAACAGCTGCATTTATCTCCAGGAAGTGGTGGTAGGCAATTGTGGGGGGGGGGCGGGCCTCGTTTACTTTGGTACCCCCCTGCCCCCCGAGAGCCCTTGATGTTCCTTCCAACCATCGCTTATTCTTCTGACGCCAGGTTTCTCTCTGTCCATCAATGTTGACGTGGGCCTCGTTTGCTCCACATGGATGGGTTCGCAGGAGCGCAGGGACAGTGGGGGTGAGGGAGCGGGGGGGCACATGGAGGGTTTGGTGAGTTTACCAGTTCATCATGGAGTTTCTGTTGAGGGTCATGAAAAAGACTTGACTGCTACCTCCGGATCGGACAGAGGCGAAGAAGACCTGAGAGGGCAGAGAAGGGCATTGTGGGAAGGGTTAGCATCATCACCCACCACGACTCACCATGGTGGCCGTTATCGCAGTACCATCCTCACCTTGTCGTTCCTCTCGGATAGGAACTTTAGTCGCTGAGCTCGCTTGTGCATGAAAACTCCGTCGAGGTGTCCCGTCTCCACGGAGCGGATCTCAATGGCCTTCTCTCCCCAGCCCATGATCTGACTGGAGTGGATGTAGGCTGCAGGGAGAGGGACAGGCCTGAGTGTGGGGACACGAGGGGCATGCGGCACGGGAGACACCCTTCCCCCTCGACGACTTCTGACGTTCTGATGATGTGACTGTCACCTTCGAGGGCAGCCCAGGTTCCGGGAGGCGATTATTGCAGCAGTTTCCACATATCCCAAAGCCGCACCCACCCTGACTTGGGCGGGAGGAAGATTGACTGAGAACTAGCTCCTGATTGGTTAGGAATGCTCATCAACGTCTGAGAACTAGCTCCTGATTCATTAGGAATACTCATCAGAATGGCTTGATTTTATCCCCCAGCCCCCCCCCCTCCTTCAATGGGGTCCTTAGGAGGCAGATCACCTACCCCAGGGAGACTCCTTCATCAGCGCAAGCAGAGAGAATACCTCCTTTTTTTAGAAAGGAATTGGTGTGGTGTTATGCACTGAGCAGCCAACAGGTGGCGACAATATGCTGTTATTGGTCATTCTGCAAGCAGAATCACAGTGGAGCGTTAAACGGTTACCTAAAAATGCCCTTTGTGATGAAGACTGACAGGATCATGGCCACCAAGGGCCATGGCACGGGGACATTTCTACATTCATGGTAACCTTCAGCCTTTGAGAGAAGGTTGGGCCAGACGAGACAGAAATAAAATGCAGCAGGTCAAACGCTGACGACACACAAAGAAACACCACTGGGTTTTACCGTGTGAAACAAAGCACAGTACAGACACAGAAATAAACAACGCGTGAAATAACAGACGGACATCAAAAATGTGGCTCCCCATTCATGGGCATTTATGAGCAGAACCTGGCACGCCCTGTGCCCTCGAGGCTTACAAGATGGCGGAGAATGTGCAGCTGCATGACTGCTGCTGACTAACTGCTCTGCATCAGTGGGCCCTTATCTAATGGGAGTGCTGGGTGACCTGCCCTGCTGGACCTCGCCAGGGAGCATGGATCTGGGCACTTCCTGAGCAGCTCTGGCTGCTCAGTACGCTGCTCAGGCCCAGGCTGCTCAGGCCCAGGCTGCTCAGTACGCTGCTCAGGCCCAGGCTGCTCAGTATGCTGCTCAGGCTGCTCAGTATGCTCAGTACGCTGCTCAGGCCCAGGCTGCTCAGTACGCTGCTCAGGCCCAGGCTGCTCAGTACACTCTTGCAGAAAATCCTGGAAAATCATATGTCACCCGATCAGTCCGGGGCTCCAGTCTGGCATTAAACTGTGCAGGGAAGAAGAACAGCAGTGGCCCATGAAGCAGACACCCTGCTGATATTTTCCTTCCTGTCGAACTTCTGGTCATTCCGGCTGAGATATTCCCCAACATGACTATTCCCTGCGGTGCTGTCTGTTACCCTGGCGACGCTGTGAAGCTACATGTTGGAATGTTTCCCCTGTGTGATATAGCTATCTTCCTGGAGGTGCCCTGGGGGGGGGGGCGACATTAGAAAAGTGACAGTGGACAGACACAGAAACGGGAATATCGATAGGCTCATGGGAGACGGCAATGAGAGACCTGGAAGGCACGGAATCCAAGCATGGATCCAATCACAGTCAGGCACAGGAAGGGGGAGGGGTGGGACAGAACGGGAACAGCACAGTGAAGCAGTGACAGTGACGTCCCCCCCACCCCACAGAACCTCAGGAAGGGGCCACTGGCTGGGCTGAACTGGGCGAAGGGGGGTGTCTGGGTGTTTAGTGGCCGCGGTGCAGGGGGTGGGGTGGGGTAGGGGGGGACGGGTGGTCTTCTTTATAAATCTCACTGCGATGTCCAGTTGACAGTGGCATGCAAGCATGTATGTGTGTGAAGGTAGGGGGGTGGTCATGTGAGCGCAGAGGATATCCATAGTCAGGGGCTCCGATAGCTATGGCAGGGTGTGGGCGGAGTTTGGGTGGGGCGGGGGGGCGGGGTAAAGGCAGAGAGAGGAGCACCGCATGAGGACCTACCAACAGAAGACGGCATCTCTCCCCACTGCAGGACCACGTCTTTAGTGATTCTGCCGTATGTGTTCACATAGACCCCCTCATCTTCATAACAGAGAAGCATCTCCATGCCGTCCGTCTTGGGCAGCACCACAATGGCGTGCGGGGTGATACTGTTCTGAATCTGGGGGGGGGGGAGGCAACATCGGCAGGTGAGCCCACGTGAGAGCCGCAGTGCATAACAGTAACCACCAGGTGGCGACCCTCACTCTGTCCCACCCTCCCTCCCTCCCTTCCATTCTCGGCGGCAGGCCGGTGAGAAACTGCTGCAACAATATGAGCTCCCAGCTGCTGCACCACAGCTCAGCCCCAGCTTCTGGAGCCCACGGGGCCTGCGGGCCAAGGGGGCCACAACTTCCAGCCATTTATCGTACGGGTTTCATTTTTCCCCTTCTGTTGTTTACGTCAGTCAAAGGTCGTAGATTGGGGGAGAAAGATTCACCCATGTTCATCTTCTGCCCTCTTATTGGTCAGCCATCTTGTCGCTGTTGCAATAGGTCACCTGACCACTCGAGCACAAGGCTGGGGGGGGGGGGGGGGCGCGTCATGGTAGAGAGAGCTGCAGCGCCCTCACCACTTACATGCGACGGGATGTAGATATCATAGGGATTCCCAGAATCCACGTCGATCACGTGAAACCCCACGCTGGACCCATAGATAACTTTTAACCTTTGACCCTCTTCCACGGTCAAGTCCACAAGCTGAGGCTTGTGCTGCAGATCTGTAAAAGACTTCGGAGAGAGACACAGGTGTGCTGAGCCACCACCTTCCACATTTCCCATGCAACAAACAAACGCTGTGTGATCACCTAGTAACAGGGAAACACAGGATTGGACTGTAGACTGCCGTCTAGTGTCTGTTCTTTGCTAAAGCGATATCTGAGCTTGTTGTACAGACCATTCCTGGGGGACCCCCAGAGCACTTTTGTTTCCTTCCCTCTCCCAGACAATCCAGAACACTGAATAACTGGTACTAGCATGCTGGGAGCAAAAATGTGAAAAACGTGGACTGTCTGGAAGTCCCAGAGGACTGGGCTGAGAAACACTGCAATAGACTTTTACATTAATTTAAAGATTGTGATGAACAAAATACAGAAGCAAAATGAACATAATTTCTTAAATCACTGATAGAGTTTTCCGTTTCCAAAAAACAGTATCAACAAATTGAAAGACAGAGAGAGCCAGCAGAATAGCGCCTCCTACCTTGAAAGCCATGAATTTATGGTATGGCTTCGGGGCCCATGCGTAAATCTCCACGGAATTCTTCAGTGCTATCACCAGGAATTTGATCCTCTCGTACTTCACTGTAAATGGGAGGCAAGCCCTTTTTCTCAGGGGATCGCATCAACCATCATTTTGATCAGCACCTCGCGTTTCAGGTTCAGAGACGCCGCAGAATCCCACCATGCAACATCTATAGATGTTTTTCTGTACTCACCCACTTTGTAGTGCACGCAGCCCTCCAGCTCGCCCACTGTCACCCAGCCCTGCCTCTTCTCCACTTCCGGGTCATTGTGCAGGATCCGGTTCCGTAGCCAGGACAGGTAGTAGACCCTCAGCTTGTTCTTCTTGCCTGTAGGGAGCATTTCAGACATCAGGGTCACGCTGCCTGGCCAGCCGTCCCGAGGGCCAGGTCAGTGCCAGATTTAGCCCCACCCACCGGAGATGGTGACTAGCACATTGAGGCCCTCCAGCACGTCCATCTGCTGGAAGCGACGCCGACTGATCAGGTTGTAGACCTTCCCTTGCCCGCTGCGGTCCAACAGCATCAGGCCATTCTCTGTGCCCACCAGCAGGTTGACACCTGAGATGGGATTCAGACATGGTTATGTGGACGCAAACAACACACGATGTGCCCCTCCCCACCACACCAGATATGGTGGCCCTCACCCCAGAGCGCGGCGCAGAGGATCTCCGAGTTGAAGCGTTTCTTGTACTTGCGGATCTCAGGTGTGTCGCTGTGCGGCCGGATGTTTGTGGGGTTCACGTTCACCACAGAGATCTTGCGCGCCTCGTTCAGTTTGGCCTGCTCTTGGCGTGCCAGCTCGCTGCTCAGCAGGGCTGAGGGGGGGGTGGGGGTGGGAATTGATCAATCGCTGCCAGACAGCTGGTCAACTAAAGTTGAAAACTCAGGGGTGCCGAAACTCACCCGCGGCTGAGTTCTCATCACCGTCATCCTCGGTGGGGGATGTCTGGTACACGCGCGGGTCCATGAAGGGGGTGAAGGAGGCCTTGGTGCTGTTGCCAATCCCGAACTGCGGAGCAAAAAGACAGAACTTGATGGGGGGTGGAACTTCAGTCCAAACTGTCCGATGGCGGGGCTCAGCACACACTGCCTATTCCAGCAGGATGGCATATGTCGGCCCAAACGATTGGCTACTGGTCCGTATGACCACTGATTTCACCACTGATCACAGAGCTATAGTCCCACCACCTCCCACCCACAGAACTGGAGTCTGGAGTCTGAAGAACCCCGATCTGGCAGGATGACAAGGAAAGAGCGATCACATGACACAGGCTGAGGGGGCGTGGTCTCCAGGCATGTATGTACACATATATATGTATCGCACATGAAGGAGGGGAGAGGGGGGGATCTTGCTGATTCTCAGAGAGAAGAGGCCACAGGAGGTGACTGGTATGGGGGGGGGCTGCCGTGAAAAGGAAATAAAGTGTGCCCCCCCCCAGCACCGAGGCTGACCTACGTAGGGCACGGCCAGTCACAGAGCGGCAGGGAAGCGGGACGCCACAGAGGGTATGCCCGGGGGCTCGCGGACGCGACCCCGTCACCTACTTCGCCCGCGGTGTCCTGGTCCTGCGCGTGCAGACCGGCGGGCACACCCGCCGCCGAGCGGCTCTGCTGCACCAGATCGGGCAGATTGGCGTGGCCGGCAAAGCCGTTGCTCTCGGCGTGGCCGGAGCGCTGCCTATCCGGCACCGTCTGTGGGGGGCAGGAGAGAGAGACCAGCATGTTCCAGAGCCGCGCCCAGGCGCCAGAGCTGAGGGCGCCATGCTCAGCTGCTCACTAGAGGACCACTGGAGCATCTGTGTGACTAACGCTAGCGTTAGCATCACCATGCTGTAGCATCTGTGTGCTGGCATTTGCATCTCCATGCTATAGCATCTGTGTACTAGCGTTAGTATTGGCGCGCTGCAGCATCTATATGCTGGCATTAGCATCGGCAAGCTGTAGCATCTGTGTGCTAGCGTTAGCATTGCTGTACTGTGGCATCTGTGTGCTGCCGTAGGTATTGCTGTGCTGTAGCATCTGTGGGCTAGCGTTAGCATCACCGGGCCTCCATTGCTCCCCTGCCCTGCTGGAAAGATTCCTTGATGTTAGCAACACCGAGCTTCCTTCAGTCCTTACATTAGCATTACCTTGACTTTGCTTCCACTGCTCCACTGCCATTCTAGGTATACATGTTCTTGCTATCCTTACGTTAGCATTAGCTAAGTTCTATCTGTCCTTGCATTAGCATTAGTTAGGTTCTCTGTCCTTATGTTAGCATTAGCTAGGTTCTGTCTGTCCTTACTTTAGCATTGGCAAGGGTCTGTCTGTGTTACTATTAGCTTCAGCTGTTGTTCTGTTAGCATTGGTGAGGCTGAGACCCATGTATCCACCACCCTTCATGAATCAGCATCATCAGCACCAAGTTACTGTTTATCTGCTGTTCAAGAAAATCTCTCATTGAAATAAGTCAGATATATTATGTTTTCATAGCCGTGCTACTCACTGCAAGCATTTACTATATAACAAAGATTAAAAATAAAATCAGTCAAAATGCGAAGATGACGGAATACCACGTGAAGCTTTGGACAGGCTGCATTTGTCTGTCAGGTCCACAGTGTCAGAACTTCATGGAAATTCCTGAGGGGCTGAGAGGTCATGTGAGGGGCAGTACAAACGGGTCAGTACTGCAGTGTGGTGTGAGCTAGATGAGAGGGGATCGAGAAGGTGACAGATACGCTCCAAATTCCTCAGGACAAACATCATAAAGGGGAGGCTTGGATCCATTCCTGAGTTGACACGGTACGTCGGATTCTCCCTCAGTGCCGACTGGCCACTCGTATGGGTGGGAGTTGTAGGGACTGGGGGGGGCCGAAAGCCACCTAACACTCTCACCTCTCGCATCCCTGGGTGGGAGTCCCCAAGGGCGTCATCATGGCTACCCATCACAGGGGATCCGTAGGTTTCGCTGCCCCCTTGGACCACAGATGGCCTGTAGGGGCAGGCAAGTGTATACCTTGCATCACACAGGTAGCCCGGCACATGCATGCGTGTGTGTATAAGGGCGTAGCACTCACATGACACGTGGGATGTCGCTGACGGGCACGGTGCCATCGTGCCCAGCCCCCTCGGCCTCATCTTCCTCGCTGCTCTCCGATTCACTGGACGAGGAGTAGTCAGTCACCTTAATTGGTGGCCGGTTGGTATCATCTGATCGCAGCTCCCGGAGCTCCTTAGCCAGGGCCGTCAGGTCCTGAGGCACCAGGACAAAAAGAGGAGGCGGAGTTTATTGGCCGATTCATGATTATCGTCAATAGCCAATCAGGTTGCTGGGGGGGAGCATGGGCAAGAGAGGAGCTTCAGCTAAACTCACCGTGGGCCGGCTGGGGCGTCCAGGGTCCCGGGCCTCCTCCTGCTGCTTGGACTTTGGGGGCTCCAGAGGGGGTGCACTGGGGGGGACCTCCTGCCGTATAGACGCTGCCCCCAAAAAAATCACTGTTAGCTGGTTTCAGAGGTGACAGCGTTTGCTGCAGGCGACAGGCCCGCCCCCTCACCTCTGCTCTCTGCCCGGTTCCGCTCGCTGGAGCCCGCCTGCGAGCCAGGCTGGGAACCTCCTTGTGAGCTTGGGGTGCTGGAACTGGAGGAGCTGCCGCTGCTGTTCCGGGGGATGCCCGTCTCCACAGAGGGGCGCAGGTCAGGGTTACTAGGGGACGCAGTAGTGAACATCACGTGACCTGTATCTGGCACCTAACTCCAAACGCACCACCTGATATAGGTGGTGGTGGGGGGGGCAGAGCACCATGACCCCGCATTCATTCAGACGCTGGTGTGCATTGTGCTGATATGCACCCTGACAGACACACACTCACTGACATACCTGGCCCGGATGAGCTGGGAGCCCCCTCTAGGCCCCAGGCCGCCGGCTCCATTGCTGGGGGAGTTCTTCCTCACCAGGGCTGGGGAAATGGACGTGGTCCTCTGGGGCACCTGGGTGGCATGGAGAAACCTTTCACTTTCCACTTCAAGTACATTTCCTGTCCTCCTTGACTTCCTGTCTACTTCCTGTGCTTCTCGACTAGTTTTCTTCCACCTTGCTATGCTAGCTGCAAACTCAAATGTTGATTCACAGCTTCACTAATTTCGAAACGAAGGTGGCGACTGGCTATTTGAGTGACTGATAGCCCATCAGTCCCATGTCGAAGCCCCCCTTGCGCACCTTGGGCGGGATATCCTCGTCCTGCATCACCCAGGGGCCTCGGTCGAACTTGTCATCGCGACTAGTTATGCGGGGTGGCGGCGGGGGGGTCTCAGAGGTGGGGTCTGAATTCTGCCGGGGTATGACGGGCCGGTGGGGGGACAGGCCCTCCTGGAAGGCCGACACTCCCTGAGCCGACTGGTCATGCAGCGACTGGGAGCCTGACATCGACGGGCTGTGGGACTTCACTGGGACCAGGTGCGGCATCTAGTGAAGGTACTCGTGTAAGACGCATGAGTGAGGGGGACCAGGCACACTGCAGGGCGCAGAGGGTGGGGCTTACCGGCGGCTCCACCTGCCGGTGCATAGGGGGGGTGCGGACGGCCTGGATGCCGCTGCTGCTGAAGGACTCAGAGCGTGGTGGCAGTGACGGGTCTGAGATCCGGTTGGCCACCTTGTGCTGCAGCGCCGGCGAGTTCTGCCGGTTCAGCAGGGAGCGCTCTTCCACCTGCATGCACAGCCAAGCTGTCAGGCTGGATCAGGACCGTCACCATGACGACGTGGCTTTGAACCCATGCCATGGCGGAGTTAACAGCATCACAGATAAATTATGTTGGATACAATGCCATTCCACAACTTGCGCTGTTAGAATTAAAAACAATTCCATAATGTCAATACGGTTAAAACAACTCCTGGAAAAAAAAGTCCATTCAGAACGACTGCAGAACCTCTCAGGTGAGTCAACTGCAGGTTCGGAGCATCAAGCCTTTATATCCCAGAAAACAGGGATGGGCACTCAGAAGCTATCGGGGAGGGTTAGGTAATGCGAACGGCATATGCATAGGCACGAGCCACCATTCCAGAGAGGGCAGAGTCACTGGGGGCAGGATTGTCAGAGTGTTATCAGGAAGAAAGGGCATCGTTAGTAAGTGCTAAGCTAACATCCCAACGAGCTGCCCGGCTCCCCGGCACCACCCTGATGAAAGGAAGGAAGAGTGTCAGAGGTTAAAGGTCACAGGTCACGCGAGTTCCCTTTGGGACAGATGGAGCTCTGGGTGTGACGGAGGGTAAGGGCTGTGACTGTGACTAAGCTAATGTCATGCTGACACCAGGCCCAACCACTTGCCGTCCTACACATAGGGCCCAGGCGGGGGTGCTGCGCTCAAATGGGAGCCACAGCATGGCGTAAACAAGATGTTCCCCGCCTGAATCCGTCCCGACAAGCTCGGCGGCTGGTTACTCATCCCACAGTAATGGAAGGGCCCTGTCAGTAGCAAGGGGGAGAGGCATCCCAGAGCACCAGGGAAGAGCCGGATCTGTAAGTCCGGTCACAATGAAGGGGGCTGCTATCCACCTGCTGGGCCCGTCTGGGGCTCCGTCCACGGGGGCCCAAAGCCGCCTCCTGCTCTCGCTCTGCAGGGCGGCTCCGCCTGAGCTGCTCCTGTTCCCCAGAGCTGATCCGGATGGAGGGGATGTCCTGGGGGCCACGGTGGAGCCAGTCGGCAGGCTCCTCGAGGGCAGGGCAGGCGGTGGGGTTAGCAGGGTAGGAGGGGGGCCGGCGGGGGTGCTGGCTGGGGGGCAGGGGCAGCAGGTGTGCGACACGGGCCTCACTGGGGCTGTTGAAGGAGTGGTACTTCTTGGGCGGGATGCGGGGAGAATTACTTTGGGAGCGCTTTATGACCTAAAAAAACATTGCGGGTTAGGTGGACATGACATCACCGGAGAGGGAGGGGCGGACTGTTATCCATTTGGGATGAAGGAGGCATCCCAATGACATCCTGTAGACCTTCAACCCGTTGGGGGACAGGGTTAAGGATGGACAATCATACGATTGCCAGAGGGCAGCACCGTACCTCTTTGGCCCAGGCGGGCTTGTCGCTGGGGTTCACGGTGTCCTTATAGTGGTACAGCTGCTTCTTGTCAATAGGGCGCTGATCTGGTTCCTGTTGCTGCTGTTGTTGCTGCTGCTGCTGCTGCTGCTGTTGTAGCGACACCAGGTAAGCTCGTTCCTGCTGCAGCTGCCTCTGCAGCCGCTCCGCTTGCCGCTGCTCCTCCAGCTGCTTACGCTTGTACTCCTGCCGCCACAGAAGACATTGTGGGGTCACGTGACGCAAGAGACAGCAAACACGGGCGGCAGGGACCGCATGCGGGAGGTGCGTGAGATGGGTGGGGCAGGGGAGGCAAGAAGGACCAATGAGGGGACCAGAGTAGGAGGCAGATGGCTGGGTCTGCATTTCACCCAGAATGCCTCACTGACACAGGACATCACATGACGGCAAGCTACATGGGCTTGCAGAAGACAAACAGAATAGGACCATTTCCAGCAGGGGTGAAGATTATGTAGGATTACCAGGTAGGGGCTCATTTGTTGCTGGAAAATTCTGTCAGCCAACCTCTGCTTTCAAAAACATGATAGACAGCTGGCCGGCCTATTGTTCACCATGCAGGAAGGGTAACATGGGCAGGGCCTGTCTGTACCGCTGAGGCACAAGGCTGGGGGCAGGGCTTGGGTGACATGGACACAGTCACTGGGTGCGGGGGCTGAAGGGGGAGGGTTTGAATCCAGCACAACACAGACACACCAATGAGGCAGGATCTAGTGGCATAATGAGGATGGGCACACATCACTGGGTGGGCATGGCCTCTGCATGAGCCAGGGGCCCCTTTACCAGGAGTAGAGCCTGCTCCTGTAACAGCTGCTGCTGAAGGATCTCCAGCTGCCGCTGCTCCTCCTCCAGCTGCCGGCGGATGTAGTCCTGCGGGACCGGCCAGCGTGGCGAGAGGGACGGGAGAGAGAGCAGTGATTGATACCCATGGGACCCAACCAAAAAGAGGAAGCCATGAATGGCACACAAGGTAGCCAATCACAGAGAGAGAAGGAGAGATACTGACAGGGCATACGTAAAAACAGAGAGGGGAAGAGGCCTGTGATTCAGGCAGATTGTCGGAAAGAGGGAAGAAGACAAATGGAAAGAAAAATTGAGAGAATAACAGATGAGAAGCCAGAGAGAGACCCACATGCAGGGAGAGGCTTCTGATACAGAAAGATGGGGGGGGGAGCGGTGACAATACAGCAAAGCCTTAAACCACAACCGCCCCCACCCGGGCCCCAGGGACAGACATCCTGCCTGGTAACTGGGTCAAAACAGCCATGTCTCTCAAAGCTGGGCCCATTTAGAGGTGTGTAAAAGGAACCAGGTCCCTGAGGGGCTTAAAGGCAAGCAAACCAAAACCATCCAGAAGTCAGGCCTGGGAGGAGGGGGGTCAGGCCGCAACAGCTGGGTACAGGGGCTGCTTACACGTTCGCTATGGCAATCTGCCTCTTTGCGTGTTTTCCATCTATCCCAGGTAAACTCTCCATCCTCCCTTCTTCCTCCAGGGTGAAAAAAACACAGAAGCCAGGACTCTGTGGAGAGTGAGGCCAGCGTGTGCGCCATGCACTCTGCAGGCTCCCTGTACCTGTGTGGTACCTGTACTTGCCGGTTGCCTGTGGAGTACCTGTACCTGCACCTTCAGGAGGTGTCTGTACCTGCTCACGCTCCTGCTGCCGCCGCTCCTCCTCCCGCCGTAGCTGCTCCATCTCCTCATAGCGCCGCCGCTGCTCCCGCTCCTGCTGCTTGCGCAGCTCCCGCTCGCGCCGCTGTTGCTAGGAGTCGAAGGCAAGGGGCGTCAATGACAGAGCCTGCAGAGGGGCTGGATGTCCCCTGGCCAGGGGCCCTGACGGCCTGCCAGTGCACCCCGCCCCTTACCTACCTCTTCTAACCGGCGCCGCTGCTCCTTCTGCTCCTCAATGCGCTTCTGCCGCTCAGCCAGCAGCTGGCGCTTGTGCTCCTCGTTCTGCTGTTGCTCCAGTTGCTGCCGGCGCAGTGCCTCCGATCGCTCCTTATTGGCCAGTTGCAGCCGCAGGAAGTCCCGCCTCAGGGTGGACTCGCCAGGGATGTTGATGATGGAGCTGGGAGAGTGATGGGACCAGAGTTTGTGTGTGTTGCCAATCTTTGTCTTTGTGAGTGTCTGTGATTCTGTTTGTCTGTCTTGTGATTCTAAGTATGTTTGTGTGTGTCTGTGCTTATGTGTGTGTGTGTGTGTGTGTGTTTATGATTCTGTGTCTGTTTATGTCTGTGTATGTATGATTCTCTGTGTTTCTCTCCTGTGATCAGCAGGGCCGACCCGCCCCATTCCTGAAGACTGTCACTTCAACAGGTCATGAGATGTCAGAAATGCAGCAGCAAGTTTTACTTGGATCTGAGCGTGGCGCTCGCTTGGAGTCTGTGGGCACAGGGTCCCGGCTCGTACCTGGGCTCCCCAATGTCGTTCTCCTCCTCCTCCTCCTCGCTGCCACTGTACTCGTACTCAGTCTCTTCTACGGCAGAAAAAAACAAGTATGAGACGGAGGTCACACGACCTAAGCAAAGCCCTGCATCTTACAGGACCGGTTCTGGACTTACTGGGGTCCATGCTGTCCCTTAACTGGTCACTGAACTCCAAAATGAATAGATAACAATTTGCTTAACCTAGGGACCGATTATGAGGTGAGACAGACCACAAAATAAGTAGGCATGACAAATTCTGTGCACACAGGAAGGTGCCCCCTAGTGGTTGAGCTGCCTACTGCCGCACACCCACCTCTTTCTCCCCTCTTCTTCTTGGTGCGGTCAATGTGGTCCTTGAGCTGTATGCGAACTTGCCGCTCGTTGGCCTGGTCCCGGATGAAGGGGTGTTTCAGCAGCTGCTCCGTAGTGGGTCTCTGCCCATGGTTCTTCACCAGGCAGCCCTCAATAAATGACTGGAACTTTTTGGACCTGGAGGGAGGAGAGGGTCACAGGTCAAGGCGGGGGCACAGGGGCGGTGACAGATGTGCCTTTATCTCCAATCACCACTGAGTCTCCTGTGTCATGTGACTTTTTGTGTAAAAAGACAGCATCAAAAAGGCAAGTCTCTGGAAAATAAAACACCCCCGTCAGTCTGTCATGGTAGGTTCCCATCAGCCCCTGCACTTGACTTAAAAGGCTCAAGGGTGTTATCACCGCCAGATTGGGTTTCCTGTTGGCCGATACAAAAGCACCGTGGACTGCGCTCTAAACTACACTGGGGGGGG